GTTTATCTGGACGATGTAGTGATATATGCAGATACTTGGGAGGAACATCTGTCCCGTATTCAAGCCTTGTTCGGACGTCTGGCTGCGGGCCGCCTCACGATAAATTTGGCTAAATGTGAGTTTGCTCAGGCGACTGTTACATACCTTGGAAAGGTGGTTGGGCAGGGTGAAGTGCGTCCTGTTCGGGCTAAAGTGGTAGCTGTTGATGCTTCTCCACTACCAACTACTAAAAAGGAACTGATGCGTTTCTTGGGAATGATTGGGTATTATCGTGGTTTTTGTAGGAACTTCTCTACTGTGGTCGCTCCCTTGACAGTATTGATGTGACCGACCATTGTTTGATTTTGTCATGTGCTATCTTTCATGTTTGTCCCCTCCTAGTCTTGGGTTCTTCTTTCCTCTTAAAGGTTGCTTCCTGTGTAAAGGTTGCTGAGGTCTGGCGAGGAGGATGATGGGTGGGGCAAGTGGAGGTGTGAACATGTACAATTTGTCGGTTTGGGACGCAGGGGCTGGTACATTGGTCCGGGGTCCTTGTTGGTCCCCGGTCTTATGGGGGGGGGGGGTGTGACGACCCTCCCACTCTGTCTGCCGTATTCTCTCTTTGCTCTTGTTTCCTTATTAGGATGCCGGTGGGCGGAGTTGGGAGGGTCGTCAGCTACATGGGAAACACCTGGGCCGGGTGTGTCCCAGCATAAATGGACCTTTTCCACATTCATTGAGGAGACTCTCTCCAGGCAGATACTTTGACTGGTTGTGATATTTTTGTGGCCTTTTTGGTTGTTTGCTTTGTCACCTTTCAACACTTTGCATTATTACATTTATGCCTGCAAACACTCACTTACACTACTGATTACTGATTACACACACCATTGTTATTTGATTTAGTTTACTTTAGCTAATAAATATATATTTAGGGTATTCCTTGTCTCCACGTGTCTCCCTTTTGTTACGAACTTGAGCCGGTTCGTGACAATACCGTATGCAACGTGTTTACGATATACTGTATACAGTGGGGAGAACAAGTATTTGATACACTGCCGATTTTGCAGGTTTTCCTACTTACAAAGCATGTAGAGGTCTGTAATTTCTATCATAGGTACACTTCAACTGTGAGAGACGGAATCTAAAACAAAAATCCAGAAAATCACATTGTATGATTTTTAGTAATTAATTTGCATTTTATTGCATGCCATAAGTATTTGATACATCGGAAAAGCAGAACTTAATATTTGGTACAGAAACCTTTGTTTGCAATTACAGAGATCATACGTTTCCTGTAGGTCTTGACCAGGTTTGCACACACTGCAGCAGGGATTTTGGCCCACTCCTCCATACAGACCTTCTCCAGATCCTTCAGGTTTCGGGGCTGTCGCTGGGCAATACGGACTTTCAGCTCCCTCCAAAGATTTTCTATTGGGTTCAGGTCTGGAGACTGGCTAGGCCACTCCAGGACCTTGAGATGCTTCTTACGGAGCCACTCCTTAGTTGCCCTGGCTGTGTGTTTCGGGTCGTTGTCATGCTGGAAGACCCAGCCACGACCCATCTTCAATGCTCTTACTGAGGGAAGGAGGTTGTACTCATCCTTCTTCTTCCTCCAAACACGGCGAGTGGAGTTTAGACCAAAAAGCTACATTTTTGTCTCATCAGACCACATTACCTTCTCCCATTCCTCCTCTGAATCATCCAGATGGTCATTGGCAAACTTCAGATGGGCCTGGACATGCGCTGGCTTGAGCAGGGGGACCTTGCGTGCGCTGCAGGATTTTAATCCATGACGGCGTAGTGTGTTACTAATGGTTTTCTTTGAGACTGTGGTCCCAGCTCTCTTCAGGTCATTGACCAGGTCATGCTGTGTAGATCTGGGCTGAACCCTCACCTTCCTCATGATCATTGATGCCCCACGAGGTGAGATCTTGCATGGAGCCCCAGACCGAGGGTGATTGACCGTCATCTTGAACTTCTTCCATTTTCTAATAATTGCGCCAACAGTTGTTGCCTTCTCACCAAGCTGCTTGCCTATTGTCCTGTAGCCCATCCCAGCCTTGTGCAGGTCTACAATTTTATCTCTGATGTCCTTACACAGCTCTCTGGTCTTGGCCATTGTGGAGAGGTTGGAGTCTGTTTGATTGAGTGTGTGGACAGGTATCTTTTATACAGGTAACGAGTTCAAACAGGTGCAGTTAATACAGGTAATGAGTGGAGAACAGGAGGGCTTCTTAAAGAAAAACTAACAGGTCTGTGAGAGCGGGAATTCTTACTGGTTGGTAGGTGATCAAATACTTATGTCATGCAATAAAATGCAAATTAATTACTTAAAAATCATACAATGTGATTTTCTGGATTTATGTTTTAGATTCCATCTCTCACAGTTGAAGTGTACCTATGATAAAAATTACAGACCTCTACATGCTTTGTAAGTAGGAAAACCTGCAAAATCGGCAGTGTATCAAATACTTGTTCTCCCCACTGTAGTCTGCTGTTGTTCTGTACAGCCATAACAAGCTAAATATCTCAGCCAAGTATCTCAACCATACTGTAACAAGCTAAAGGTGACAGCATCACTTTGTCAGCAATATCATCTCCTTGGGGCTGTACTAAAAAAATAGTTAAGTTGGTCTCTTTCACCTGTAAAATAGATGCATTTATTTTTCTAAGCCTGAGCCATAGATTTTGGTACTCTAAAAAACTCTCCCAAATGAAATTTGTACCATACGTAATAGGTAAAGTCTGTGACCTTCTATAACAGTTAGACTCTCTACAAAAACTCTCCAAAAGTTTTATACAGTGAGCAATCAAGTTTTTGACCTTCTGTTCCAGGCCAGGATCTCTCCAAGTCCCCCTGAGACAGCCTTTGTACTCTGCAGCCTGTACTCTCTGTCTGCAACTGAAAGCACACCCTCTCAGGCTCCCAAAATGACTATTGACTATGCAGTGGAGTCTGCTTCCGAAATTGACGGAACCTTTCCATTATCGACTGAGTCTGTGAGGAGCTGTCTGAACAGGTAGGAGCAACATGGTGGCTATATGGACTGGGTCTGTGAGACGCTGCCTGAACAGGTAGGAGCAACATGGTGGCTATATGGACTGGGTCTGTGAGGAGCTACCTGAACAGGTAGGAGCAACATGGTGGCTATATGGACTGGGTCTGTGAGACGCTGCCTGAACAGGTAGGAGCAACATGGTGGCTATATGGACTGGGTCTGTGAGGAGCTGTCTGAACAGGTAGGAGCAACATGGTGGCTATATGGACTGGGTCTGTGAGACGCTGCCTGAACAGGTAGGAGCAACATGGTGGCTATATGGACTGGGTCTGTGAGGAGCTGCCTGAACAGGTAGGAGCAACATGGTGGCTATATGGACTGGGTCTGTGAGACGCTGCCTGAACAGGTAGGAGCAACGCACTTGCATTTATCTAAAGGGTTAGCTGAGCATCTCTTCTCTATCCCTCCCAGATTAAACTTGTTTTTTAAATTACTGATAGTCCAGACAGACAGCTGTATCTAAGGTAAGACCCCTATAATATGGATAAACGTTGTGAGGGGGCGGATCAGCCACTGTGAGACACTCGTCTGGCCTTCTTTCAGACAAAGTGAAGCATAATAAAAAAACAACTGTTAATTGTACATACATAGATGCATGGATTCCTGCGTGTGTGTGTGTGTGGGTGAATAATGTGCCTTGGCTTAATCTCAGGGCTGACTGCAGAAGGCTGTGAGATTAACGGTTTACATCACTCATTACATTACACTTCTCCTAAAGAGCTTCCCCTCTGTGAACTGAACTGAACACACACACACACACAAACACACCCCCGGTTGAGATGAAATGTGTCGTTGGTTGGGGTCATTGCAGAGGCAATGACTACCTGGTGGTTATCCTCGCTGTGAGTTTGTGATAATCCAATTTGTGGGCAGCACGTAAAATGATCCCACTGAAACATCCAAAAGAGCTGCTCCCCTGGAGACCATCAACCTCTCTCTCTCTTTCTGGTCTCTGCCTTTCTCTTTGGCTCTCTCTACATCTCCCTCTCTTCTGCTCTCTCCATATCCATCCAACACCTCTCGCTCTCCCCATATACACACACACACACACACACACACACACATATATACGCTTTTTCCACCTCTCTCTACCTCTACCTCTCCATCTCGCTCTACCTCTAACCCTTATCTCCATCTTTCTCCCTGTCCTCTAATCTCTCCACCTTACGCTCTCTCCTCTAACTCAATCTTTCTCCCTCTACCACATCTCTCTCTCCCCCTCCTTCTCTCTCACCTTCACTCTGCCTCTCTGTCCATTTCCCTCTTCCGCCTTCTCCCTCCCTTTACTCCCTCCATCAGTTTAGTTCCCCATTACTGTGCTCTCTGACAAGCTGCTCTGGAGATGTCCAGCCTAGCCTAGACCCCAGTGGGTCTGTCAGTAATTACTGAACAAAATAACACCCTCCCTCCCTCCCTCCCTCCCTCCAGTAAGTATTGTTAAATATTCATGCTCCTCCTCTCTGCATCCTGGTGACATTAGAACAGCAGGTGCACAGCTCAATCTCACTAATTAGAAACGCTACCCCAGACAGAGCACACACACACATCTGTCATTTTGGTAAAACATACTGGTGGAAAGACTTTTCTATGTAACAGTAACTTAAATAGACCAGAAAAACACAGCTGTATATTGCACTAGTTCAACCACAACCACATACTGACCCAAATCTGTAGTAATAGGTTATGTTTCCATTGAACAGGTCTACTGAGTGGTTCAGTTCTCTTATCTTACAGAAGACCTCAGCAACAAACTTCAGAGTGAACAAATATGCTTCAGGATCTCCTTTGGAAGTTCAACATCTCTGCTGTTCTGGAATATCTTTGTTGAATCACATCCTCGTTCCTCCATGAAGGGCAGGTGTAGAGACACGCACCCAGGGAGTCTACCCTTTCCTGGAAGGCCAGGGCAATCATTAGCGACTCCTCCAATGAGTTATTATCCTGGGATTTCTGGGGGTCATGGTCTCTATGGTCGGGGACAAGACCATCAACTACATTAAGGGAATATTCTTCATTTTGGCCGGAATTCTCATCCTCATTCCTGTCTTCTGGAAGGCCAGGGCAATCATCAGCGACTCCTCCAAATTGTTGTTCGGAGAGAAGAGGGAACTGGGGGGAGCGCTCTACATCGGCTGGGTGGGTGCAGCCTTTCTCCTGATTGGAGGGGCCATACCTAGCAGAACTCCGTATACAAGCAGAACAGAGGTTGCAGGCATCCCCACAGGGGTCATAGGAAGGATAATCTCCATGGTGCCCTGTGCAATACAGATTCTGTCCTGGTCCTTCTTCATCCTCCTTGGGTTTCTAGGGCTGATATTATTGTTTTGCGGGGTCAAAGTACACGAACTGCATCAAGAGGAATACTTACAAAGCTGACGGGAATAACTCTGCTGGAATATTGTTCATCATGGCTGCTTTTGTCCAGCGGATCTTTTTCTTCTTTGTTTCCCTTGACAAAACTCCGACCCTGACAACAATACCTTTATGTTTTCAGTTGAACTCAGTAGGTGGGCTGCTTCACTGCTTCTGATAGGAGGGACCATACTCTTCTGCTGCTTTAAGAAAGAAAAGTGAGAGTTGACAACTGACTCTTATGCCTTGAATCTTGTCTTACGTGACCTTAATTTATCTTAGGTCTACTACTTCTGTGTTTGTGAATCTGAGAGCAGCAAATAGATGTAAGCAATATGATGATTGGTGATGGCTACGCTTCATAGTCTTCTACACCCACACTGGACCCTGCAGAGTAAGATTGCCCACCACTTGTCTTGACTCAGTGACACATGGAACAGGCTCACAGCATCCACTTCCTTGTCAAAACACTTGAAAGGGACATGTAGATGTTGTCTAAGGGCTGGTTGAGGTGGGATTTGCTATAGGTAGAGGAACTTCCACCAAAATAAATTGCTTTTCCATTATTATGAATGGCTTTTCCATAATTTTTTATAATAAAATGTTATTCAACTCCTAACTTAATTTGTTCATTGGGTGGAGCTGTATATTGCACTAGTTTTTCAGCCATGTGGGTATCAACCACAACCTGCCTCAAATATGTATAAATAGGTTGTTTCCATGACAACATCACAGCATTGAGCAGATATAGAGGTCTACTGAGTGGCTCAGTTCTCTTATCTTACAGAAGACCTCAGCAGCAAACTTCAGAGTGTAAGAATCTGCTGTTCTAGAACTTTGTAAAGACTGAAGGTGCCATAGCTCCAGGATCTCCTCTGGAAGTTCAACATCTCTGCTGTTTTGGAATATCTTTGTTGAGTCACATCGTTCTTCCTCCGGGAAGGGCAGGTGTAGAGAGACGCACCCAGGGACCCAGTATGTCGATGGGCATGGAGATCATGGGCATCGCCCTGGGAGTCATAGGATTAATCAACACCATTTTAGTGTGTGCACTCCCCACCTGGATGGAGACAACTTTCATAGCAGCTAACTTTGGCACCAAGGAGGTGGTCTGGGACGGCCTGTGGATGAGCTGTGTGAAAAGGAGCACGAGCCAGATGCAGTGTGAGGTCTACGACTCCATGCCAAGCTCTGTATGGAGCTCCAACCTGCAGGCCGCCAGAGCCATGAACATCATCACTATTATCCTGGGATTTCTGGGAGTCATGGTCTCTATGGTCGGGGACAAGACCATTAACTACATTAAGGGAATATTCTTCATTTTGGCCGGAATTCTCATCCTCATTCCTGTCTCCTGGAAGGCCAGGGCAATCATCAGCGACTCCTCCAAATTGTTGTTCGGAGTGAAGAGGGAACTGGGGGGAGCGCTCTACATCGGCTGGGTGGGTGCAGCCTTTCTCCTGATTGGAGGGGTCATACTTAGAACAACTCTGTATAAAAGCAGGATCGAGGTTGCTGGCTTCACCACAGTCACAGGATGGATAATCTCCATGGTGCCCTGTGCTTGTGCTTTAGGAATGTTAGACCTTCTGCAATACAGGGCACTGGTTCTTCTGTCCTTATCCTGCTTCTCCATCATGTTTGGGTTTCTAGGACTGATATTAGGTTTATTCGGGTCAGGCTGCATCAAGAGGAATATGTCTAAAGCTGAAGTGAGTAACTCTGCCGGAATATTGTTCATCATGGCTGGTATAGCCCAGCTGATCATTACCTCCTTTGTTGCCCTCGACATGACACAAAACTCGGAACCTGAGAACGTCCTGCGGAGTGATGCCCTCATGTTTTCAGCTGAACTCAGTAGGTGGGCTGCTTCACTGCTTCTGATAGGAGGGACCATACTCTGCTGCTGCGTTAAGAAGAAAATATTTAAGAAAGAAAAGCCGAAGTCGACAATTGACTCTAATGACCTAAATCGTGTCTTACATGATCTTTATTTATCTTAACCTTACCACTTCCGTGTTTGTGATTCTGAGAGCAGCAAATAGGTGTCAGCAATAAGATACAGTGGGGAAAAAAAGTATTTAGTCAGCCACCAATTGTGCAAGTTCTCCCACTTAAAAAGATGAGAGAGGCCTGTAATTTTCATCATAGGTACACGTCAACTATGACAGACAAAATGAGAAAAAAAAATCCAGAAAATCACATTGTAGGATTTTTTAATGAATTTATTTGCAAATTATGGTGGAAAATAAGTATTTGGTCAATAACAAAAGTTTCTCAATACTTTGTTATATACCCTTTGTTGGCAATGACACAGATCAAACATTTTCTGTAAGTCTTCACAAGGTTTTAACACACTGTTGCTGGTATTTTGGCCCATTCCTCCATGCAGATCTCCTCTAGAGCAGTGATGTTTTGGGGCTGTCGCTGGGCAACACGGACTTTCAACTCCCTCCAAAGATTTTCTATGGGGTTGAGATCTGGAGACTGGCTAGGCCACTCCAGGACCTTGAAATGCTTCTTACGAAGCCACTCCTTCGTTGCCCGGGCGGTGTGTTTGGGATCATTGTCATGCTGAAAGACCCAGCCACGTTTCATCTTCAATGCCCTTGCTGATGGAAGGAGGTTTTCACTCAAAATCTCACGATACATGGCCCCATTCATTCTTTCCTTTACACGGATCAGTCGTCCTGGTCCCTTTGCAGAGAAACAGCCCCAAAGCATGATGTTTCCACCCCCATGCTTCACAGTAGGTATGGTGTTCTTTGGATGCAACTCAGCATTCTTTGTCCTCCAAACGCGACGAGTTGAGTTTTTACCAAAAAGTTCTATTTTGGTTTCATCTGACCATATGACATTCTCCCAATCCTCTTCTGGATCATCCAAATGCACTCTAGCAAACTTCAGACGGGCCTGGACATGTACTGGCTTAAGCAGGGGGACACGTCTGGCATTGCAGGATTTGAGTCCCTGGCGGCGTAGTGTGTTACTGATGGTAGGCTTTGTTACTTTGGTCCCAGCTCTCTGCAGGTCATTCACTAGGTCCCCCCGTGTGGTTCTGGGATTTATGCTCACCGTTCTTGTGATCATTTTGACCCCACAGGGTGAGATCTTGCGTGGAGCCCCAGATCGAGGGAGATTATCAGTGGTCTTGTATGTCTTCCATTTCCTAATAATTGCTCCCACAGTTGATTTCTTCAAACCAATCTGCTTACCTATTGCAGATTCAGTCTTCCCAGCCTGGTGCTGGTCTACAATTTTGTTTCTGGTGTCTTTTGACAGCTCTTTGGTCTTGGCCATAGTGGAGTTTGGAGTGTGACTGTTTGAGGTTGTGGACAGGTGTCTTTTATACTGATAACAAGTTCAAACAGGTGCCTTTAATACAGGTAACGAGTGGAGGACAGAGGAGCCTCTTAAAGAAGAAGTTACAGGTATGTGAGAGCCAGAAATCTTTCTTGTTTGTAGGTGACCAAATACTTATTTTCCACCATAATTTCTGGACAGGGATAACATTTCTTATCAAGGCGTAGGTGTAGGTGGTCTGAGTTTATAATCAGATGACAGTGGATCAAACAATACGATTTTATCATTACCAAAATAAGCAGGGGCACACACACACACACGTAAACAGTTAACATTTGCTCCCTATAGTGTGTTCAGTGAATCAGTCATTTAGGTGAAACGTAGATGTGAAAAAATACCTTTCTATGACTTCTCTATAACTTTGAATAGATGAGGCAGTCAAAGCCATAGAATTAGGAATTAGAATACTAGAATGGACATGAATGTTATTATGACAGTATAAAATGTCAGCCATTTTGGTCAGGGAGTAGGTCAGTTGGTCCTCCCCTTCATCTACACTGATTGAAGTGGATTTAAGTGACATCAATAAGGGATCATAGCTGTCACCTGGATTAACCTGGTCAGTCTGCCATGGAAAGAGCAGGTGTCCTTAATGTTTTCTACACTCAGTGTATATTTTAGAGGCTATTTATACAGAGTTGGTATTTAACCTGTATTAACTATAATTATATAAGATTATTTTAGGTTGACAATAATTATATTACACCATTTCTGATATATCACATGCCTTACTTTTATTTTCCTGCATAAGTAAAAGCAGGAAATGCATCACCTATGCATGGAATCCGGGCACGCAGAATTCCGACTAAAATCAGCGGATTTTCAAATAGAATGCATAGGATTCTAAAGTTCAATAAAATGGACTTGTTGTTGAAAGTAAGTTTTTCCTCTGTTTTCATTGATGTATTTCAATCACCGAAAAGTGCAGCCAGAGGTGTAGCCCCTCCTCTGTGTGAGTGAGAGGTGCAGGGTGCAGACAGCTCCGTGAATGAATTACAGCTGTCTGAGGAGAGAAGTATAAAAAATAATAAAAAATATATAAAATAAAAAATATTTACAGCAGAGGAGCTGAGGAGTAAACACTTGGCGACCAGAATAACAGCCAGGGACAGGGCCAGCGAGTTTCCAGCTGAACTGTACGAGGATGGAGGAGTACTTGTCTGCAAAGTCTGTCAGCATTCAATCGACTACATACTGCACCTTAGGCCACTCCGACACAAAAATAGGAGGGCTAGTGGACCAGGTAAACATTAGGATGCTTTAGATAGCTACAGATATATTAACTAGCTAGAAGGTTTGTTCTAGTTAGCTAATATCTGTTCTTGACAATTACATTTTTTATCTATATAGAGTGGCAAGTTAGCTAGCTAACGTTAGCCTGGCAAGCTTCCCATGTTGTCACTCCAGCTCCAGCACGTCATTTAGGCTAGCTAGCTAACTTAGCTGAGGTAATGTTAGCTAGCTAACAAATTAGCCAAAGTGACGTGGTGGAGCTATCAAAAACAAGTGACAAGTTAGGAATTACAAAAGCAGCAAGTCTCAAACATATGTTTTGTGACTTTTTTGTGACTTTTTTTAGTTAACTATCATTGTTTGAAAATGTATTTGTGTGTGAGACATACTGTCAGGTTTATGGGCTGTGTGTCTGTGTGTGTGTGTGTGTGTGTGTGTGTGTCTGTCGCTTCAGGAGAGTGTGTGCTTAGCGTCAAAGCTTGAGATCCACTGTCGCCTGCTATTGAACTCAACCTGAGAATTCTTAATTTACCAAATGTAACCATTGTTCTCTATTTTCTACATTTGTTTCAGTCCAAACAAGAACACAGACCCTGGCCTCCTGTCTGACAAAGACCCCCTTCACAGCTGAGAGAAAGGAGTTATTCTTGGACAAGAACATTAATCAAAGCAGATACCTCTTGAGAAGGGGCCCAAGTTCTCCACATTTCTGAAGAAACACTGCAAGCAGAGGGTCTATCCCAGCACCATCCCATCTGCGTACAGAGTACCTGCCAGACCTCTATCCACAATATGAGCAGGACATCAGAGTCGCTGTAGAGGGAAAGGACATTTATGTCATCCTTGATGAGACGACCGATGCCTTTGGAAGATGTGCACTCGCAATCCTACACCAGCCAGTGGGTGAACGACCTGTTGTAGCAGATCTAGCTTTCTTGGATAAAGTAAACTATACCATTGTGTCCCAAGCTGTCATTTCCTGTCTCAACAACAATGGGGTTGACTTTAACAATGTGTGGGCTTTTGTAAGCGACTCAGCTAGCTATATGACGAAGGCTTTCACCAGCATCTTGAAGGGCCTCTTCCCCAACTCCAGACACGTCACCTGCTTTGCCCATCTCCTGAGCCTGGTGCTGGAGGACGTGAACAGGCTGTGTGCTCTGAAGAGGAAGGAGATCATTCATGCTGGAAAATGGCAATTATCCTGTGATGCCTGTGTATGCTGTGCAGACCAGGTGGGTCTCCTGGATACGTGCTTTGGAGTACCTGGCAGAGTACATGGATGTGCTCACCGACATCACTACGACCTTACCGGAAACAGCGAAGTGTGTCCAGGACCTTTGTGAGCTGCTGTGGGAACACAAGGCCCAGCTGAAGGCAGAGGCAGTGTTCATTGTGGAGCATAGTGTGGAGACAGTGGCTAACCTGACAAAGCTGGAGGAGACCTCTGTGCCAACAGCCCACAACATCGCCAGCAAGCTAGAGGACGTGCAAATGCAGTTTGAGAATGGCAGAACAGCTGGGGCTGACGACCGGCGCCCTCATACGACTGAACTGCTTGGGCAGCTTCCAGAGGAAGACAGGAACTGAGTTGTTCCAGTCTGCCATGGCAGCATGATCCATCAAGCTACAGACTGTGCTGGAGAAGCACCCCTAACTTCACCTGTTCAAGGCACTAACTGTTCTAGATCCAGCCCAGGTGGTAGGCGCAAGAAAGGAAATTAAGTACTATGTCCATGCCATCCCTGCTCTGAGCCAGGTGTCTGCAGAGGAATGGCCCATATACATGGGCATTGACAAGGCAGACGCTATGGAAATGAGTACAGTGGACTGGTGGGAAGCTAGGCAGGACAGTATGCCAGCCTTAGCTCACATTGCGGCAATATATCTGTGCCTCCCCACTACCTCAGTGGATGTAAAGAGACTTTTCTCGCATTATCATAAGCTACTTAGTCAGCGTAGAAGGAGCCTCACAGAGATTTTTTTTTTTAATGTTGATGATTGCGAAGTATAATAGCATACTACACCGGCTCCGACACTTGTCGGATGTGGCAGGGCTCGCAAACTATTATAGACTACAAAGGGAAGCACAGCCGCTAGCTGCTCAGTGACACAAGCCTACCAGACGAGTTAAATTACCTCTATGCTCGCTTCGAGGCAAGCAACACTGAAGCATGCATGAGAGCATCAGCTGTTCAGGATTCACAAGGCCGCAGGGCCAGACGGATTACCAGGACGTGTACTCCGATCATGCACTGACCAACTGGCAAGTGTCTTCACCAACATTTTCAACCTGTCCCTGACTGAGTCTGTAATACCAACATGTTTCAAGCAGACCACCATAGTCCCTGTGCCCAAGAACACTAAAGTAACCTGCCTAAATGACTACCGACCCGTAGCACTCATG